TATTCATCAATCAAGTCGAATTGGAAAAAATTAGTAAAATTGATTCGATGATCAATTTTTGATAACATTATATCATTCCTGTAAAAATTTATATGATTATTCGATTTTTCATGGAGAAACATAATTTTGAGGCAATAAAGAAGATAAAGATACAAAGAATCTCGCTTTGTTACTTTTTCAACAAACCAATAGTTGGAAAAGATATAATTAATTTTTTTTTTTAATTTCTTATAAAAAGAAAAATATGAATTATCCTTTGTTTCCAATTTCAACTTATTTTCTTTCGTTGAAATACTTAGATTATTCGAGAAATCGAATAATCTAAACACAAATTTCTTCGAAACACTGCAGAAATTATTCTCGCTGAATCATTATATAATCATAAAAATGTCATCATACGTTAAAAAATCTTTTTGTTTTCTATTTTGTTGCATTACGAGAACCACTGCATATATTTTTTTCACTACATATTTTAATTATCAATGAATTCCACGAATGCCAGCAAACAAAATATTATTGATTTCTTTATAAATTTTTATCAATTAAAAAAGAAATTTCTATAGAGAATTTTGCTCCATTAATTCTTGAATCAACATATGCAATTGCAAAGGATATAATTAATTTTTTTTTTTTAAATTTCCAACATGAATGGTCCTGTGCTTCAACTGCAAATCTCTTTGTTTTATCATTCACAGGTGATTTTTTTTATTTTTCTCTATTTTTCATATTGTGAGGAACTGCGGATATTTTTTCTACTACCTTTTTTTTTTTATTTTTACTATAATTAAATCAATTGAATCAGTTTCGAAAATGTTATTTTATAAATAACATTTATACTAAAAAATGAATAAAATTTTCGTTAAAATATGCTTTTCAGATCTTTTTCTATTTCAATCAAAATGCATAATAATGTGAAGAATTTTTGATAATTTTTGTATCTTGCATAAAAGAATTGATTATTTTTTAAATTTTCCTACATGGATCATTTTATGATTCAATGTAATATAAGTTTCTTCATTTTAATGTATTTTCTTTTGTTCTCTTATTATTTTCCATTTTTGTCACAAAAGATTTTGTACATATTTTTGTTTTCATATCTATATTTATTTGCTTTAAGATAAACTCGCACCATATTGATTAAAAAATACAAAAAAATAATCGAACATTGCAAAAAATTAAAAAAAAAAAAACGAATATACAATATATATTTTGGAAAATGATATTTTTCAATATTTTCATAATTTTTTCAAATTCAAATTCTTTAACAACTCTATCGCGAATATATTTCTAAATTCGTACAGATTTGGCAATCAATTTAAAAAGATGACACATTCTATATAAATTACTTTAAAAATTATTATTATTAGTATTAATAATATTATTATTATTATTAAAATATATTATTAACATTTCGATTGTGTAATTTTTTTTGAAGACGATTCATGAATTGATTTATGAATTTATAATATAGTCCATACAAATTTATCGATAATTAGATTTTGTAATTGTTTTTGAAAACAATATGATCAGATTTATCATTAATGGTATTTTTTTTTGTATAGATCGTGAAATTATATATTATAATTAATTATAAATTATATTTAGATTCTGTAATTATTTTTGAAGACGACAGCAAAACAATATATTAATCATTGATAATATTATTTTGTTTATTTTGTTTGAATTATTGTATTTTTTTTTTTTTTTTTTTTTTTTT